GCCAAGCACGGCGAGCCCGCCAGACGCGTGAGCAGCAACCGGGGGGACCGCGGGCGCCGCGTGTCGGCGGCGTCTCTATGTGCTCCTCCTCGAGCCGTTTTGTCAAGGAGGAGGGGGGAGAGGGGGGCTGGGAGGAGGGGAGGAGGGAGGAAGGAAGAGGGATGAGGGGAGGAGAGAGCAGCGTGCAGAGGCACTACGAGAAGGACGAGAAGGCCTTTTCTCACCAGGCGACGGGGCGCGCTGCCAAGACCCACCCGCGAGTGCCCCGGGGGGAGGGGGCGAGGGAGGAGTAGGGGAAGGGGGAACAACAGGAGTAGCAGGAGCGAGGAACGAGGGGGAGGGGGAGATGCCTGGGCCCTGTTTTGCTGCCGCATGTTAATTGCGTATCGAAGACTCCTACGGCGAATCCCCGCCGCCCCCTGCCCTTTGGAACCATCTTGAGGCCTCGGAAGGCCATCGAAAGCAAAAAGGCGAGAAGGCCGAATTCATTGACTTTCTTCAGGTGTTTGAAGGGTGTTGGCCTCTTGGCGGCCTCCTGGGGAGGCTCCGTGCCCATCTTGAGCCGCCTTGGAGCGGTCTTGTGGCCTCTTGGGGCATCTTGGGAGCCATGTTGAGCCAGGTTGGACTATCTGGAGCCATCTTGGAGGTCGTATTGGGGGGTCAGGGGGCGAATCGCCCCCCTGCGATTTTCATGTTTTGTTTGTCCTTCTGGTGACTCGTGCAGGAACGTTGTTGGCTGATGCGCGTGCTGCCTCCGACCGAACAAAATACCTGAACACCCGCGTTCTCCATGTCCTCGCATTGCGCCTTCCGCGACGATGCGGTAACTTTTTTCGTGGGGCGGACTGAGCCTCAGCCCCAGCCAGCCTAAGCCAGCCACGCCTGAGCCTTAGCCTAAGCCAGCTCCGCCTAAGCCTCAGCTTAACCTGAGCCTTGCCTAAGCCCAGCCTGAGCCCCAGCCTCAGCGTAAGCCGCAGCCTAGCCCACACCTCAGCCTAAGCATAGCCTAAACCTCGCCCGAACCTCGGCCTAAGCCTTGGCGTAAGCCTCAGCCTAAGCCTAGCCGAAGACTAGCCTAAGCCTCAGTCTAACCCTCAGCTTCGACGTAACATGAACCCCGGCCGAAGCTGAAGCCGAAGCCTCAACCACAGCCTAGCCTGAGCCTCAGCCCTGCTATTGCTGTATTAGGGTATTGCTATTACCACATTACTACAACAGTACTACTACTACTACTACTACTACTACTACTACTACTACTACTACTACTACTACTACTACTACTACTACTACTACTACTACTACTACTACTACTACTACTACTACTATTGGAGTACGACTGCCCCTACGACACTATCAGTACTACTAGTACTACTACTACTACTACTACTACTACGACCATGGCTACTTCTAGTACTACTACTATTACTACTACTACTACTACTACTACTACTACTACTACTACTACTACTACTACTACTACTACTACTACTACTACTACTACTAGTACTACTACGGCTACTACGGCTACGAATGCTACTACAGCGCGGCCGTATTAGGGTGCTGCTGCAGTACAATGTGGTATTACCCGTACAGCCGCCACTATAGTGTTTCCACGACAAGTGTGCCAGATAACTACTACGACTGCCATAGAATCCACAGAATACTCTAATGGTAGAGCTCCACTATTACTACTGCCAGTATTTGACTACTGTACACGACTAGCCACGACTGCGGTATTTCTGCTCGAGTACTGTACTACGACATCTGTAACCCCACCACTACAGCACTACAACAGTGCTGCGATACTACGACAGCACCAGGACACCACAACAATACTGGAGCACTACGACAATGCTGGAGCATTCCTACTAGAGTATTGCAGCACACGCAGCGCAAGCAGTCGCATACTATTACTTTTACGAATACTGTACAAGAGCACTGCTTCTACAGCGCCACTACCCCAATAGTACAGCACGGCTCCACAATAGTACACCACTCTTCCTACAACACCACCGCTAACGCATTACAGTTGACGGGTACTAGTACCGCGCTGGGGTATTACAGTCGTGAATTACGATTGCACTACAGCAGTGCGAGTACTAGCGCACGTACTAGAGTATGATCTTTACTGCGAGACCTGAGTGCTACCATTACGGTTACAGGGCTACTGCAGCGCTGCCACTTCGTTAATGCAATTCTATTATTGGCTTAGCACGATGCCAGAGTACCACTGGTCCAGCAGTAGGGTACCACTACTGCAGTACTACTGCGAGAGTACTGTGCTAGGACTAGTTCGGTGTCACCACCACAGCACTACAGTATCAAACTACTGCAACAGTTCTGATATACCACGGCATTCGAATATTCCTACGACGGTGCTGCAGCACACTCACAGCAGGGAGCAGTCGAGTGCTGCTCTACGAAGGCACTACTAGAGCACGGCATCTACAGTGCAGGCACTACAATGGTACAGCACGGCTCCACAATAGGTCAGCACTCTCCCTACATCACTGCCACTGAAGCCCTGCAGTTCGAGGAGACTACAGTGGGGACTACTTCTGCGACAATGCTTCAGTGTGACTGCGAAATCACGTACTATAGTAGGATCTTTACTGCGATACCTGAGTACTACTATTCCGATTCCAGCTACAGGGCTGTTACAGTGCTGCCACTTCGTTGATGCAATAATGCTAATGATTTAACTCGGTATCAGAGTACCACTGGTTCAGTACTAGAGTACCACTAAGCAGTACTACTGCTAGAGGATTGTACTACGACTATTTCAATGCCACCACTACAGCATTACAGCGCTAGAGTACTACAACAGTGCTGATAGACTTCGGCATTTGAGTAGTGTTGCTACAGTAGGGGTAACCACTGCAGGCAATACTATTCGTGCGGATAATCTATTCGAGTGTTGTTTCTACGGTACCACTACTGCAGTCGTACGGCACAGCCCCACAATGTTGCAGCACTCTTCTGGCAGACTACCACTGAAGTACTATAGTCCTAGGGTGTTACTACTCGGCTCGAGTGCTGCAGTCGTGGTCTACTTCTACTGCGCTACTACAGTGCGACTACTAGAGCAAACGTTCGCGTATGACCTCTACTGCAAGGCTGGATTGGTGCTGCTGCTGCTGCTACTACTACTACTACTACTACTACGACTACGACTACTACTACGACTACTACTACTGCTACTACTACTACGACTACTACTACTACTACTACTACTACTAATGCTATTATTACTACTACTACTACTACTACTACTACGACTACGACTACTACTACTACTACTACTACTACTACTACTACTACTACTACTACTACTACTATTACTTTTACTACTACTTTTACTACAGCTACAGGACTAACGCAGTGCTGTCATACCATTAGTGCAGCACTACTACGGCGGTTCTAGAATGCTGCAGTAGTAGAGCACAACGAATATTACACTACCACAGTACTACTACTGCGACAGTCAGTACTATAGCACTGCCGCTGCAATTCGGTTGCGACGCATTTCGACGCGATTGCAATGCGCTGCGATTGCAGTCCTTTGCTGCTGGCGCCTAGGAGGGGGGGGGTCTCTCTTGTTGCCCCCCTCCCCCAGGCGCCGCCAGCAGCAAGGGGGCGGCGGAAGTCCCGCCCCCGCCCCGCGTGGCCACGCGCCCGAGTCAGCGAGGTTCGCAGAACCGAGTTCCTCACCACGCGGCCATCCAGAGGGATTCGCACAACGAGGTTCGCGAACGTTTACAAAATGAAGAGCGCGCAGAAATTAGACAAAAGGAGAGGGGCTACCGGAAAAAAAGAAAAACAACACGCGACACGCAATGATGTTTTGATGATTCTCGCAGGGGGGCGATTCGCCCCTGAATCCCATATTGGGCTCTCCGGGTCCGCTTGGGGGCCACTCGGGGGCCGCTTGAGGGCTTCCCGGGGAGTCGTGGGGCCCTCTTGGGGTCTCTTGGGGGGTTCGCGGGGTCGCCTTGGGGGCGCATTGGGGGCCCTGGGCGGCCTCTTGGGGCCATCTTGGAGGCGGTCGGTCAAAAGAGGGGGGCCTTCGATGTGCGCCCCCCTCTTGGGGGCCGCGATCCTTGTGAGGGGTGTCAAAACTTGCCTCGCCCCCTCCCCCCCCCCCCCTTCCCCCCCCCTCCCCCCCCCCCCCCTTCCCCCCTTCCCTCCCCCCCCCCCCCGCCCCCTCTGGCCGAAAAAGGAGCCTCCGACGCTTCGCGAAACTTCACCAAATACGTCGGGGGAGGAGCCCCCCCCTCCGCCCCCCCCCCCCCCCCCCCCCCCCCCCCTTCACCCCCGAGCGGAGAAAAAGGGTAGTGGAAGAGCGAAGAAAAAATCCTTAGCCAACCTGTCGCCCAGAAGGCTGGTGGGATTATAAAAGTAGTGATTTTGCAACGCATGGCCTCATGGAAAGCGCGCGGTCGCGCTCTCGCGGATTCTTAAGGCAGCCATGTGCGCGTGTTTCCGTTAGTTTCATCAAGTGCGACCAAACGTGCGCGCGTGTCGGAATCGCTCGAACGCCCTTGCACGCGTGCTGGGGGAGGGTGGCGCGATCCCTGTCACGTGAAGCCATGCGAGTCATTTGCGCGCGTCGACCGCGCGCGCATGTCGAAATCCCCATCGCAACCTTCATCGCGCGCGCGAGGATACCATGCTCGTCGTCGGCGGGATCGGCATTGGCACCGTCATTTCCTCCGCGACAATTTTGGCCCAAATCCGCAGCGTGGCCCGAGCGTCAGCAGCGGGCGAGAGCCTTGCGGCATTGGGGGCGCCGCAGAGGCTCACGCGGCCCCGGCAGCATTCTGATGAGGTCTTGGCGGGCCAGCCCCCCGCCATTCTTCTCGCGCCCAGAGTTCGCAGATGTCCGTGCGGCGCCGCGCGCCATGGCACGACGTGCTAGGTCAGCCCCTGGGCGCAGGCTCAGGGTGGAAAGGAGAAACGAGGGGGCAAGTGCACTGATGCCGACATGCGGCTCGAGTACCCGCCGCTGTCGGGGGGGGCAACTGCCGAACCGGCGGGGCCACTGCGCGGGGGCGCCGGCGTGGCGGGGGAATTGCCGAGGGCGGCCCATGGTG